TAGGCTCGGACTAAAAGCACTGCTGGGTTAGTGGGAACTTGTGGCTATGGTTGTCCAGTCACATTGGTCATCTCTAAGGAACCAGGAAACAGAAAGGTGCCAGGACCCTGAGCCTGGGCAAAACTCTAAAGGGTGAAGTTGGACGCCAGAAGCCACAGACCAAGGAATCTAGCTTCTAAACCGAGAAAATTTCTGAAACAAACTACTAACGTTTTAAATCAGAAAGCCACCCCGGCTGGTGTGGCTGAGTGGCCTGCGAACCCAAGGGTCACTGGTCGCTGGTTTGGTTCCCAGTCTGGAGCATATGGCTGGGTTGCAGGCCAGGTCCCGGGTAGCGGGGGGCGGGGGGGGGGGGGGCGGACCGGGGATGTGAGGGGCAACCACACATTGATGTTTCTCTCTCTTGAAACCTCCTTTCTATTTAAAAAAAATTTTTTTAATCAGAAAGCCATGCTCATTATGAAGGCACAGATACTGTGAATCTTGAAGAACTTGTGAGTGGAACAGATGCCCTGTTCTCCTTCCCACACTGTGTGCACAGCCCAGAACGCCCCCTCCGTGCCCCTCTCGGCCACGGTTAGGGCGAGAGTACCAGGCTTCCAAGCCCGATCTGACCCCACCTGGGCGAGCTGACACCTGGCAGCAGGGAGTGAGCATGCACACAGCTTCCTCCTTGGCAGCCGCCCCAGTAAGTAAAACGCACCAGGAACTGCACAGGTGGGCAAGCCTGGGTGTGATCTCTGCCCTGAGGGGCCCGGAGTTGGCAGAGAAACAACAGGGCAGCGACACCTAACAACACTTTGCTCTAACAGTGCTGACCTAGAGCGACTAGTGACCGCTTCTATAAAACTACAGTCTCCTGGGAGGGGGAAGGAGCCTGGTGTGCTTAAGGAAATAGAGCTGGCGCTTTCCATTCCTAGCCAAGAGACCACTCCCTATAGGAAGGCTCACCTGACCGCCAAGGCCATGCCCACCCCTCTGTCCCCCTGGGTGACTCACAGCAGACCGGTGGGCTACTCAAGTCACCTTTCTGCCCCGCTCTTTTGCTCCTTCACTCACCTCTGAGCCCTGTGACGACAGGGGCAGTCTCTGGTTCACTCTTTCACCCTCAGCCTGGCGGCAGCAGATCACTACTGCTTGCCGAACAGTAAATATGTTCTATAAACCGTCCATTGTATCGTGTCAACTCACTAGAGCCTGTCGTTCCCCGAGGCTGTGACTAAGCCAGGGGTCAGGTCTGCCTCTGCCTCACAGAAAATGTGGTGTCTGTGGGCGTTCCCAGCACTCTGCAGGGCTCTCGTGTTGCCCACTCTAGTGTCGTTCTCATAGTGTGAGGTTTTAATCCAAACTAAAACTCGGGACCCCGGAGCCAATTTAGGGTATGGGATGGAAGGCGACTAGACAGCAGGTAGTTGGGATTCACAGATGCGCCAGCAGAGTGCATTCCATTACAGTGATGCTTTCTGGTCTTTATTCATTCGTTTATATCTTATGTAATCTTTGTCATCAGATTTACTGATCACTTATAGGACTCAATAAATATAGGAGGTTGCTGAGAATACAAACAGAGTTCTCCACATGGAGATAAGAAGAGGGATACATGTACCTCCAACTTTGTATTCGCCTGGGTATTCGAAAAACAAAGGGCTGTGGGCCACAGGGGGTGGTCACGTCCCACACACTGAGGATGGATGGGAGGTATTTACTAGGCAAGTTACGGGAGAAGAGAGGGAAAGGGGCACTTTAGGGAAGTGACTTGTAGGCTGCCATGTTGCTCTTCTAGTGATTCAAAAACCTGTTGTCCGATGGCGGGCTAGCCTCTGCAAGAGGGAGCTCTGGCACTTCTACTGAAGGCCAGGTTCCAGTGATCTGCACACGGATTCATGTAGCCTGCCATTCTGATTCGATCAAATAAGCTAAAAACTTTGGAAAAGCTTGTGACTCTGGTTTATCTGGATCCTGAATAAAATGTTTATCATGTGATATTTATTTATGACAAATTGAATTAGTAAAGTCTCAAATATAGAAATATTTTTATAAATATAGTTTTATTACTTAGGAGTACATACAAAAATTCAAACACAGCTAAAAAGAAAAAAAAAAAAACAGTTGCCAAGCAGAGGCCCTATCCAGTTTGTTTTAATGAGCACAGAGACGTTACAATCAGCACAAAACACTTTAAGTCCTGAAACAACGTACTGTCCTCAGGATCTTTAAATATCGGGCTTAAAAACGGATTTTTGTTTTGTTCTTTACACCTATTTAAATCTTTTCCCTAAGTACAGACCATTAAGTTTGGGTCATGAGATTTTCATTTAGAAAAATAGGTAAAACCTTTTACTACAATTATTTTGAAAACTGAAATAGTTGGTCCATGGCCAGTCTTGTTGCCTTACATCCTCCATGGTTTCTCAGAAACTCCCAACAATCTGTAACAGAAAAAGCACTTGTAGCCCCCAGCAGCTCTCTGAAGCACTGGCATTTGGGCCCAAGAGCCCTGGAATTATTGAAGGTGGCAAGATTTTTCTTCACTTCTCATCTTTATGATTTCATCATTTTATTTTTGGCTGGACTATTTCTCCTTGTCTGGGGAAAAAATTGGTTATTTTACTTTTCCTAATTGTTAATCCATTACACTCCTTTATCCATTTTTTTTCATGCCCTTTTGGCAACTTTAGCATTTTCTGCAAGTGTAAGTTGATGCTGAGCTTTAACATTTCAAGCAGTTATATATTTCACTTTCCTCTTGATGGCCTGTCATGCGCTTTCCCTTCGTTTGCATCTGACTTTTGACCACTTCATCACAGAGCTGAGATGCTTTAGAGAGATGCCCAATCTCCAAATGTTCGGAATTCCATCTAAAAAATGTTCACATCCTTTTATGATCCCCTTACTACTGGAACGAGTTCTGAAAAACCAGCGAAGGGCCTGCTCCTGCTTTGGGTTTTGCGCTCCACCAGGTCCTGCAGTCTAGCCTTCCACCCATCTCTTCACAGTGAGGAGCCTGCGGCCCAAGCCGGACAACGAAAGACGACTTCCACCTGCAATACTCCCAGATTCGTGGTTCAAAGGGGAAGTCCAAATTGTGAGTTCTAGACTTCTGGAAGTTCTTTGTACATCCGACTGGTGACAAATCCCTATAAAATCTGTATCTTTCCATCTCTTGTACAGATGTTCCTCTCCATCTCTGTCTCTTAGTTTTGGCCATTACTTCTCCTCTGCTGGGCTCATCTTATTATACCTACTGCCATAGTATTCTTAAAGTGAAATATGAACACAGTTCCCTGTTTAAAACCTGTTGGTGGCTCTCCACTGCCTGTAAGGCACAGCACAAACCCTTTAGCTCAGCATACAAGGCCCTCAGAATCCGCTCATCTCCCTAGCGACAGGCCCCCTCCCCATCCACCACACTCTACGGGAACTTATTTTCTGTAATGCATTTTGCTGTTTTACACTTAAGTTTGTAAATGAATTTTTAGAAAATTGTTACAAATTCCTGATGGGTGCCAAGTCCCCAGGGATACAAAAGTTACCCAAGGTCATTTTGCATCCCATTCATTCAGTAAACTCTGCCATGGTGACCAAGTGCCTAGAAATGCTAGGTACTGGACATAGGGACACAAAATTCAGTGTCCTTGCCCTTGGCGGCTTCAGTCTAGAGGAGACTATGGTCGTGGCACGAAGTCCCGACATGCAGGTGTGCTGCTACCTAACGCAGCTTCAAGTCCACTCCCTCTCTGAACGGCCACTCCGTCAGCGGAGACCACAGGCAACACGTGCTCCTCGAGGCCCTTCTCCTGTTTACTCTCGTGCCGGCGCTCTGCAACCCAGCACCTGAGTGTTGCCTTGTTATGTTTAAAAGACAATTATAGCATTACAAAAATGCAAGTTAATTAATTGCACGTGCTACTTACGGCTGTGTATGCTAGCTTGGTGAGCGCTTGTGAATTTTCATTCTGACCACCGCAGGTTTGGCTCACCCTCTCAGCTGAAGGCTACATCTCTGATTGCAGAGTTACTGATGAAAAGCAACGAAGGTTCAACCTTTAGGAAACTCTGTCCTGCTTTTCTGGTTAATCTGGTAAAAGATACTAAACATGCCCTTATCACCTTATTAATAACACTTATTATTCTGAATGAAGTGATGGATAAGTCATGCATAACTAAGATTTCTAGGCTGATTTTTAAAAATAACAATCATTAAATATCCATTATAAATATTCACTTTATTTTGAAAGAATCGAAAGATGTTAACATATATTACATACTACATATAATGGCACATGTCAGCCTCTTAAGCTTAAAAATAATCTCTCCCCAAACTGGGATTGACTTAAATTCCAAATATAAAACGACTCTTGGCCTATAGCACCGACCCAGGCCCAGAGGAAAGCCGGTTTTGAGCCTGTCCGTCCTCTGGCACGGGGCTTCCTGATATGAAACTGAGGGTCCTCTCCCTCTGGTTTTGTTCCCTGGCAGTACTGAGGCCTGGCCCAGGGGCCCACGGGCTGTACACCGCAGGCCCGGGACATCGGAGAATGGAGAGGGGGTGGGGTCCTCTGACAATTCACAATGAAAAAAAGTCTGTGCCCGTTGTCTCTGATCTACATAGCTATACTGACTGCAAGATGGAAGGAGATCAGAACTGCTGAGTTACAATTTGTCTGCTGGTTCTTCTCCTTGGAAAACGTGTCACGATAGGAGGAGCCTTAGAAGTCACATAGTTCAATCCTAGTAACCTGCTCCACTAGCATTTTCCTTTCCAAGATTTAGGTATAATTCAGAGTTTAAATACCATCCATATGCCACTTTGTTAGACAAATACACAAATTCAGTAACACCTTTCAATTTCTTAATTCATAAGGAGAATTCCTGCCAAATGTCCTGGTTTGTGGCTCTCCTCCTCTTCACAGGCCGTTCAAGTCGCACATGAAGGATCTAAAACACACCCTTAGGGAGTTTTCATAAGCAATATCCAACCAATCAGTAAAACACAGTACTCAGGGTGAACATTTTAATTTATTCCCCTCCCAAGAATCCAGAATATGTTCCCCCTTAGCTTTGAGAAATGTGATAAGGAAAACACCGACAGAACTGACCGTACGTAAGGAGAAAAGAAAAGCACATCGTACACAGAGAACGTCCCTACGTCCTCCCTAACCTGGCTGTGCACATTAATGGTATGTTTCTGGCAATGCCTCCTTTCACTTGATTTCCAAAACTTTTACAGGACAGATTTAAAGTAGATAGGCCTCTGATTTTTGTTTTTTAACCCTAAAAGACTTTAAAAAAGAGACTATTTGAACTGACAATGCATTCTGAGTCGGGGGAGAAAAAAATTAAAAACCCAAAACTTCTTTCAGTTTATTCAAAATAAAAATACACATAGAGTTATGAAAATATAGGTTTACTATTTCCACCATGTAAGTTGATGCTGCTGTCGGAAAGGCTTTCAAATTGTTTTTCAAGTTTTAAAGCTCATCTCGATCTCTCAGTAGAGTGTACCTATATTCGCTGGGTGCCAGTTTCTGGAAGGAGCTCTCAGGGGGACTACTTGCTACATCTTGGACTTCCTACAAGAGAAAGAACAGAACATTTTTATAGTTGTAACGCTTCACTGAGGGTGTGCGGTGAATGGGAGCTGCTCCACAGGTACTGTGTGCCGAGACAAGGCTCCCTTTGCAGTCTTGCTGTCCCCATGCCGTGTGCCTTTCCTCCGACCGCCCAGCACACGGCCGCCACAGAGCCGTGAACTATGGACCTGCTGGCAGTTCCTAGGATGCAGTGGAAGGAAACAAAATACCTGACCCCTAGGCGCTTTCCTAGAATATTCTATAGAGGCAGCAAACACACAAAGTCCTGAGTACGTTGATTTAAGCCCTCCCTCTTACAAATGACTGCTAAGAGGATTAAGGGTGCCTCTTCTGTAGCTAGAATTACACTTACCTGGATGCCAGAAACAATCAAAACTAAATCGACACAAGGAGGAAAACAAGCACTTCAATACTGCAAGGAATTAATTTCTGCCTTATTCTACTTGTGCACAGACAGTAGACACAAATACACAGTGGAAGGGTAAGAGAGACTTCCAAGAATTTCTAAGAAAAGGCAGTATAGTCTACCCTTTCTCTCCACACTGTAAGCTCTCAGGAGTACACCTGGGTGCCACCACGCTAATACCCCTGAACTCCAGGCAGGCACACGGTGCACACACGTCACCCTACGCCCACCGCCGCAGTCCTGCGGCGACGGTGAACAGCTGCCGGCAGCCTGCCCACGGAACTCTGTCCCGCTCCACTTCCCCGAGACATTTTTAATTTATCTTTTGTTGAAATATATGTTTGGTTTAATTTAGCTGAAATTGTATTACTATTAAACAAACATTACTGCAATATTTGGTGCCATTAGTACACAAAGATTAATAAATAAAATGCAAGGAGTTCAACTATCTAATGTATAAGTTGAAAACAAATCAGGATAACACATAATGATAGACTACACTTTTTCTTAATCTATAAAATACTAAGCAGTCCTACTCTTCTGATGAAAAGAATCACCTTTGGGTTATTACCAACAATTTGCTGCTTCTATAGTTGCTAAATTATCAAAGAAAAATCTGACCTCAGATTTCAAGGAAAAAGCATGTCATCAGATTCCTAAAGGGAACTCTTGACTCTCAACTTTGACTCAAAGTAAAGAAAAATTCACTTAGTCTTTATTTTTATTTTATATGTGGAAGTTCTTTGGGCAAAATAGTGGATTGAAGTTCTAGGCGTGTAAAATAGAGTTTGGTATATCTTCCCTCTTGGCATAGTGGGAGAGAGAAATTGATAATAAATCAAAATGCAAATTTAGGGTGTTTAACAAAGCAGGAACATAGAAATAGGAAAATCCTCAGGTTAAAAAAAAAAGAAAAAATACATGTTAAAGACAAAGTGTCAAGCATTCTAAATCTTAAATGGAAAAGCTGCATTAAACCTCAAGTTCTGAGCATTGTGAATACTGTATCGGTGAGGGCTGTTAGGACGGTTTAGCAAGAAAACCGAGCCACTACTTTCCTCAGTGTGGCGAGTCTCCCAGCCACAGAGGAGGGTGAATCCACTGCCTTCACCGAGTGCCCGCTTCCAAGTCCTGTCTCCTACCTCTGTTTGAAGCCGGCTTCAACTCTTTTAGACATATTCCACGGAAGGGCACACTCAGACCAAAAAACTATGTTGTAACATTCTTGCAACCATATGGAAGATCTGACATTTAAAAAATTAATTTAAAAGGGACATGGTTTGTGTACTGTCCAGAGTCTGCTGGGAAAGAAGGAAAGCCCCCGCCGCAGAGCGCGTCCCACCTGTCCTGGGGCTGTGTCGGTTGGGTCAGGGCCGTGGTGGAACTCTCTGTGCAGCTTCCCCGAGTGTAAGTCAGACACGAACTGCTTGAGTTTCCCAGGAACTCTAAAACCAAAGTCAAACAGAAACTTAGCTTACAACTGTTAAAATGAACTTACATCTATTTTACCAGCTTCACATACATTTTTTAAAGATTTAACCTATAATCCTACCTCCCTACCATGACTATTACAGGCCAGATGTCTGTCGACATTTCCACAGGTTGTGACCTCACCGAGGCGCTCAGGTCTGTGCTCTGATTCCTGCAGTCACTGCACAGAAGTTTTTCTGTGCTTATCGTTTTCACAGACGCACGAGAGTCCACCAAGGTGCTACCCTAACTCTTTCTTAACCATCCCTTCTTGCTGGGCATTTATATATTTTCCTTAATTAACATGCCTAAAACACTTATGTTCTGCAAAACAGGGTCCCAGGGAAAAATAGTGTTAAGCACCTAAAACTATGCAGCTTTATCACCAGAGTCCTACAAAAAATCCTTGAACAAAAACAGCAGCACTGATTAAAATAAAACTTAAAAAAAAACACAAAAAAACCCAGCAGCACTGCTTAGCTTCCACCAGCATTCGAGCCTGTGTCAGCCACACGACCTCCATGGTCTTAACCTGGAACTTACTATAAATCTTTTGAGAGGCAGGTCCTTGAGGGCATTCACAGTCAGTAGAGCCAGTTTTATCAGATCATCTAAGGGGCGGGGGGTGTAGCATTTCTTTTTCTTTTTTCTTAAACACGGGGAAATTTCATCACAACTTCTTTAACCACAGGGGCAGCTTCGCAGGACAGCTTAACATTATGAAAAGCAAAAGCACCTCTCAAGCCCATGAAACTGGCTTTTTGTTTTGTTTTGTTTTTTGGTGTCTTCATCCACCATTAAGGCATGCTCCTTAATGGTGAAAAAGCTTTCTTTGATGGCTTCAAACCATTCTGAAGAAAATAACATGAACCAGCACAATTCACTGTATACTGACATCTCTCCGCTAATTATTAATCAGAGTATGTAGGAAAATTTGAAGTTCAGAGAATGCATTGTAGCAAAACAGACCATTAAAAAGCTAAGTGGACACACACACACACACACAGCGCAGCAGCAGCAGCAGCAGGCTGGAATGCCGGGCTGGGGCCACAGTGTATGCAGGTGAGGTGAATAGGTGTGTGTACACTGTCCCAGTGTGAGTGTGAACATGCGAGAGTGCACCCGGGGATGGAAGAAGATTGTGTCCAGGGCTGGGTCCCACCTTGCACCCTGAGTCGCCACTTTCCACCATGAACTGGAACAGGCAGGTTAGAGTACCATTACCTTGTTTTCATTCATCTTTCCTAATGTCGGTATAGCTCACATTACAAAATGCAGACAAACTGTATCTACGAAACATTAGTAGGTTTTTGCTGCTACTTGTCTACTTGTTTATTCTTTGAAATCCTGACAGTACCTTTGTCCTTTTTTAATTATTAAAATTTGCTTTGCTAATTTGATAAGTAAAAGACACCTGTACATTTCCATTGTTTTAATTTATATTTCTGCTCTTATGAATTGTCTTTTACTGACTGAGATTGTGGTATTTTAGAAATTCATTATATATATTTCCATAGAAATCCTTTATTTTTCAAATCTGTTACAAGAATTATAATGAGGGTCAACAAACACTTTAATTCCTTCAGTAGAATTGACTGACTTTTTAAATCATTTTTCAGAGCAAAGAATAGCTGGCTGGTTTAACATTACCAGTTTCTCTTTCTTTGTATCCTTTCCTGGGGTTCTGCAAGCGCTGTTTCTTCCCTTCAATAACTCCCGCTGAGATGTACCAACCAATCACTTCCTAGTACACCCCTCCAGGCTCCCCACGAGCTCCGATGCAACAGCGAACAGCAGGTGCCAAATGCACAGTTTACAAATACAAATGACTGTCAGGTAGCCAGCCGTATTGACAGAACACCCCTGAAAGGTTCTCTGGTGCTGAAGAAATTGCACATGCACCAGAGATGAACACTGAGAGGAGATCAATTTAAATTTAATCTGACATCATCGACTGTGACCACAGCAAAATACTAAAATGTAGCCATTCGGTTCAAAGACTGCGAAGGGTCCACAACACGTAAGATGGTAAAGCACCCATCGCTGGTTCGTTGTTTTATAAGGTCCAAAGATGATCACAACCTTTACAGTGTGGTCTGCTTCTGCTAGTCAAGAAATGATTTGTAATTAAGTCTTAAATGTAACAAAGTCATAGAGAACACTCAAAACAAATTTTTCAGTAATTTGATTTTCCCCCTGTGAACAGATGAGAAGAGAGAAAGAATTGTGAGCAAGAGGCAAACGCAAGGGAGACAGGAGGTTTCTGAATGGATGTGGAGAAACAGATTACAAAAGAGCTCTTATCTAGCTTGTAGCCTGAAACTAACCATTGTTCTTAAGTAACAATCAGTGAATCAACAAAAAATTGTCAAAAAAAACAAACAACATGGTTATCTGCTGAAAAGGAAAATAAATGGACCCTGGTTCTAATAAATCCAATTATATTTTCACACTTTAGGGTACATTTTTCTACTTAGAACAGCTAGGTATTTCCCATCCTCCCAACACTTTGTTTACAATCTGTATTTTTAGGTGATGCAAGATTTAGACACAGTAAATGCACAAGTGTTAAGTTTAATGTATCATTAAACAAACTTTGAGAAATGCATTCAAGATAAGCGTTTTTACTATTTAAAAAATTTACATACAGTGGACTTCAGTTTTTTAGGCTTACAGTTCTGAGCTTCTTTAACATATGCATATAAGCGTCTTGTCACCACCCCCAGAAACAGGACACAGAAAAACCCCTACACCCTTTTTCAGTCAGATGCTCCACTTCCCCCGCGACTCCCACCAAACACTGATCTGTCCTCCATGCCCACAATTTGCCTTTCCCAGGAAGTCACGTGCATGGACTCATACAGTGTGTAATCGTGAGAATGGCTTCTTTTATTTAGCATCCTGCATTTGAGATTCATCCATTATACTGCACATATAAAAATGTTTATTCCTTTATTGCTAAATAGTATCCCATTGAGTGTATATATATGTAATTAGTTTATCCATACACCCACTGAAGAACATCTGGGGTCTTTCAAGATTTTAGTAATTTTGAGCTACTAGAAACACTTATGAGCAGGTTTATGTGTGAAAGTAGTTTATTTCTCCAGGAAAAATATTGGGTTATATGCGAGGTATAAGTTTAAGAAACTGCCAAATTGTTTTCCAGTATGTAGCTTTCTGGTTGGTGGATTTATGGGTGATTTTTAGTCTATACTTTGGTAGTTTAATTTTCAGAATTACCTACAAAGAACATAATCAGTCATTTTTCTTGCTTATTCATTAATACACTGAATTACATTGATTGGTTTTTGAATGTTGAGCCAGCCTTGCATGCCTGGGACAAAACCCACTTTGTTGTGATATGCTATTCTTTTATTACATATTTCTGGGTTCAATTTCCTAATGTTGTGAACTACTTTTAACTCAACTCATACAATAATGTGGTATAAATTTATTTAATGTTTTACAGTGTAAGAAACAGTTTTTGCCATTTAAATTACTTAACCTCTTTGAGCTTCAGCTTTCTGATATGTAAAATGAGAATAAGTATGTTATTTAACTTATATTGTTTTTATACAGACTTTTATTTGAACCCAAATATATTACTGCATATAGCCACAGCTAGCCTTATCATTGCACCTAACACGTATCAGACACTGTCCTAAGAGCTATAGATACACCCATTTATTTAATGGTCAGGTCACAACAACCCTATGAAGTAGACACTATTATTCCCACTTTACAGATAAGGAAACTGAGGCATGGGGATGGTAAAAAATTGCCCAGGGTGATGTAACTAGTAGGTAGCAGAAAGGGATTCAAATCTAAGCAATCTGAATCTAGGGTCTGAGCACCCAAACACCAAATTATACTGCCTTTACCGACCTCTTGGAACTTAACTTCCTTATTGTAAATTTGGAAACAATACCTATTTATAAGCTTTATATTAATTTACACAGACCACATCTAAGTGGTAAAGTAGGGAGGGTACAGTACTGGGCTCTGTCAAGGCTTGGCGTCATTTGCTGGAAGGACCACATAAGGTGAAATACACTGGTATGTTTGTGAAACATACAGTACTTCTAAGTAGACACTCAATGTCAGTTGTATGTTTATGTCCTTGAGAATAAAAATGGTGCTTAATGACTCAGGCCACTGTAAGCCCGGTGGCTGAGAAGAAAGACATTGAGAAAACCAAAACTACAGAGATGAGCCGGAGCGGTGGGGAACAAGAGAGCAAATGGATAGCTGATAAGTATTTGGAAACGTCACAGATGTGCAGATGTATACATCGAAAGTTGTCAAACACTTATAATAAGCAAATTAAACTACAAGCAAATTAATCAAAACATTTATTGAACATCTAATGCTGTCACAAAGCTGTTGGAATAGCAAGAGACAATAAAAACTAATAAAATTAGCCTTTTAAGAAGCTTTCTCAATATATCAATTTTTTTCCCACTGAAGGAAAGCCTCATTTGAGTAAAAAAGAGGAACCCCGAAGATAATGATGAACAAAACCGGATTCTCAGAGTTCAAACGGACCTTAATGGCGATCTGATTAAAAATGTTTTTCTTCGTCTCCCTCCCAGTTCTTCATTATCCCATCCATGTCCTGGTGTGCCCCCTCCAAGCTCAAGGAGGCAGGCTGACTTGTCACAGCGGACGACCAAGCTGCTCCATCAGTGAGACACCTGCCCCCAGCCCCCATTCCGCCCCGCCTCTCTCATCTCCTCACAGCAACCACCCCTGTCACCCTGCCGCTCATGCAGCCGATCAGCGGCTGCCAACCTTCCCAAACTGTGTAGTTTTAAAAATTATGATCATAATTTTCAGTGATTTAGTGATTTGCAATGAATTACTTAGAGCCCAGAACTGGGGAACTCATTAGCATCAGAGGGGCCTATTACATCTTCCGGGGAGTAACCTGAAGCCTGTCCTGCTTGCTGCTCCCCCCTCTCACGGGGCTCTG